AATGTGGGCGTCATGACTCATGTCACTTAGGTAGGTGCAACGGTGGTGTCACGCCAGGGCGCCTTTAGTAGTTGACCAGCTCGCCGCATGTGCAAGATGGTCCTTGGTTGACGCCGACTCCGCCGAACGACCGTCTGGCTCCAACCCTTGTTGCATGTACCAAATCCCGGCGTGTGTTCCTTTCTCGGGATGCACGCACCCAGCCTCCCAGACAGAATCATGCGCGTAGACATGGTTGAGATCGGACTTCGTCTCAAAGTGATGCATGCGGCGGAAGTTCGACGCAGTGGGAAGAGTTCTCACTGCTTGGATGTTATAGGAGGAGGAGGAGGAGGAGGGGGAGGAGGGGGGGGGGTGGTAGCAGAAGTAAGGTAGTGCCAGTAGCAGCCTGTGCCGCCGGCGCCGGAGAGAGCGCCGGGCCCCCTCTCGGACCCTTCTCGGAACCTTCTCGGAAGCTTCCGCGTAGGCGCCGCCCAAGCCTGCGCCGCCGGAGCCGGAGAGGTCGGCCGGCCGCGGCCGCCCGCGGTGGTACGAGATGGACACGTGGGCGCGCGAGGCGTCGCGACTAAGGCGACGAGTTTCGGAGGCCTCCGCGAGCGTTGCGGGACGCTTCTCGGAAGCTTCCGCGTAGGCGCTGGAGTACGGGTTCCTCCTCTGAGGGGCGTCGATGAGAGCGGCGCATCCGGGGAGGGGTGAACGAGCATGAGGCGGCGGGCGAGAGGAGCGCGAGGCGGGAGGAGGTGACGCTCGGCGATCCGGCTGCATGGATGGGGGAGTGGCATGGCGGCAAGGGGAGAGGGGGTGGAAGGGGCATGGCGGCGAGGGGAGTTGGGGAGAGGTGCCCAGCAGCCCTAGTGGATGCAGGACGGAGGCCGCAGAGCGGTAGTAGCTCGGCGGATCTCGCGGATCTGGCGGTGTGAGGCATGGGCGTGATGGCTGTGGAGAGGGCCCGTTGCGCGTTGCTTGGTCCCTGTGCGCAGTGCAAAGCAGCTGGTGCAGTGGTGGATGACTGAATCTGTGCAGTCCCGTGATGTGTATGTCCCGAGGTCACACGCAGACTTCTGGACTGTCCTGTGAAGTGTGATGGCATCATGTGATCGTAATACTGGTACAGTCTGCAGATCGCAAAATATGAAATAATAGAGTATGTGCACGCACAAAATATACACTTACACAAGCTCCAACCTCCAAGGACCAAGCGTACCAGCGGCGCGACCTGGAGAAGTCGAGAGAAACAGAGCGCACGATTCCACGAAACGATGATGCGCAGAGCGCACGCACCCACGACGGAGCCAGACGTATCACGTATGTGAGCTGGAGAGTATGTTCGCCAAAAATCAAGAGTGAAAAGATCTACGAGGCGAAGGGCCCCCTTAGCCGCACGCTCCCCTTCCTGCCCAGCGGCGACAGCGTCGTCACCGAGTCCGCTCGGATGCTGAGCTCAATCGTGGTGCCGTTGCTGACGGAGCGGCGCGATGAGGCGTCGGCCGCCCCCGTCTCAGGTGGCGGCTGGACACTAACGCGGCCCAGCGGTGCTTCCCTAGAGGCCTCGGGGGCGAGGGAGGACTCGGTGTCGGTGTGGCGGGGGCTGGTCGCCCGCAGGAGCTCGCCGCCGTCAGTCCTCCTGCGGACGCTCGTGCGGGGGGGGGGGGGGGGACGGTTGTGGTTGTGGTTGTGGTTGTGGTTGTGGTTGTGGTTGTGGTGGTGATGGTGGCGGCGGTGGTGGCGGCGGCGGTTGTGGTGGTGGTGTGTGGGTGGTGTGTGTGTGTGTGTGGTGTGGGGGGGGGAGAACGCCTCGTGGCCAAGGGGTCGTCCACCCCGACCTTGAGCTGCCCATGAGACGACTGCATCATTGCGCGACGCCGCGCGCGCGCCCGCGACCTCTTCCAGCACACCGCCAGCGCCGCGAGCAGACCAACGAGCGCCACGGCGGCGGCGGCGCCGCCGGCAGCCACGGGCACCATGCTTTGCCGCGGCGCCTGCGCCGGCTCGTCGTCGGTCAGGAAGGCGCCTGGCAGGTGCGGCGGCAGCGGCGACGCCGGCGGCAGTTGCGGCAGCGGTGGCGGCAGTAGCGGCAGCGGTGGCCAAGGCGCTGGGGACACGGACGGTAGCGGCGATAAGTTGGGCGGCGGCGGGGGTGCTGGCGACGACGGCGGCGGCGGCGGCGGCGGCGAAGACGGGGGCTGTGGCGGCGCTGGTGATGGCGGCGGCGAGGGTGGCGGCGGCGGCAAGGGTGGCGGTGGTGAAGGGCGCGGCGGCGGTGATGGCGGCGGCGGCGGTCGGCTCGGGTCTCCCACGGGCACGAGCGGCGGACCTAGCGGCGGTGGAGGGGAGGGCGGCGAGGGTGGAGGCGGCGGGGGTGGCGAGGGGGGCGGGGGCGGCGACGGCGGCGGTGATGGTGGCGGGGGCGGGGGCGGCGAAGGTGGCGGCGGCGGCGGTGGCGGCGGCGGCGGCGAGGGCGGCGGCGACGGTGAGGGCGGTGGAGGCGGCGGCGGCGGCGGCGACGGCGGTGGCGGCGGCGGCGGCGAAGGTGGCGGCGGCGGCGGTGATGGTGAGGGCGGCGGCGAGGGAGGGGAGGGAGGTGGTGACGGCCAGCAAGCTGGGCACGGGTCGCAGCCGCAGGGCCCGTCGCCTTCCCCATCGCACAGTATCCCACTGCACACGTTCGGCGGCGCGGGCGGCGCTCCGTATGGCGCGCACGCGCCGCAGGCCAACACCTCCTCTACCGCCGCGACCTCCTGGCACGCTTCGAGCTCAGAGAGCTCATCTCCAGTGCTCATTGTGCCATCCTTCCCAAACTGCCGCAGGTACTCGATCCGACCACCGCAGGTGGCGCCTTCATTGCCATCTATAGGAGCGATCTGCTCCAAGATCGCATCAGTGCAGGTCTCCACTCCACAGGGCGACGGCGGTCGCGCAGGCGGCGGCGCAGGCGGAGGCGGCTGCGGCGACGGCGGCGGCGACGGCGGCGGCGCAGGCGGAGGCGGCTGCGGCGACGGCGGCGGTGCAGGCGGAGGCGGCTGCGGCGACGGTGGTGGCGAGGGCGAGGGCGGCGGTAGTGGCGAGGCGGAGGGCGGCGGTGGCGGTGGTGACGGCGAGAGGGAGGGCGGCGGCGAGGGCGAGGCGGAGGGCGGTGGTGACGGCGAGAGGGAGGGCGGCGGCGGCGAGGGCGGCGGCGGCACTGGGGGCGGTGGTGTCGGTGGCGGCGGTGACGGCGGTGGCGGTGATGGCTGCTGGAGTGGGGGTTCAGCTCCTCCGACCCCTTCCTCGCTTGGTCCTGCGGGTGGATTCCGGGGAGGGTGCGGTGGGGGTGGGAATGGGCGAGGTGTGAGCGGCGGCGGTGTAGGCGAGGGCGACACGGCAGGCGCTGCTGACGGCGGCAGCGGCAACAATGCCGGCGGCGTCGGCAGAGGAGGAGAGGGCGGAGGGGAGGGCGGAGGCAACGGCGGCGCTTCCGGTGGCGGCGGCGCTTCTGGCGTCGGCGCTGGTGGCGGAACCAACGGCGGTTGTTGGAGTGGAGGCGCGGATTGCGGCACCTGTGCCGGTGATGGTGGCCACGGCGGCGGTGGATGGGGTGGCGGCGAGGGCGGTGATGATGGTGGTTGCGGCTGCGTCGATGGTGTCGGCTGCGGCGATGGCTGCAGCAGAGGAGCGGAAAGCGGAAGCGGCGAGGGCGGAGCAGTGAGTGGTTGGGATGGGGCGCTGTCGGCGCCTGGAGGAGTGGACATCACCACGTAGATCGCAGGGAGGGTGGCCTAGGAGAGAAGGGTGCCGGCGTGAAAGGCGGACACACAATTATTATTAATATTGACACGCAAGTTAGTAAACAACTTAAAGAAAAGGCCAACTCTAGTGAGCGCCGGACTGGTGGTTCGACGCCGAGTCATTTAATATTTGAAAGCGGCATTGTGTGCCCGCCTTGCGTTGTTTCATAACGTCGATGGCGTAAAAGAATTCAAGTGCCGCTCGCGCTTGCTTTGGAGCGCTCCGGCCCAAGGGTGGGCGACGGCTAGCGCACCACACCCCTCTCCTTAAAATCCCTGTGTGTGCTTACAAGTTCGGGTTTTTTTTTTGGAGCGCTCCGCGCCCGCTTGGGGTCTTGGCCTGCAATGCTCGCATTGGAGCTCCTGCCTACCGTCGCCATCGCGTACACACTCTCCGAGCTCGTCAAGCCGCGGCCGCAGCGCTGGGTGCTCCTGCGGCACATACGCGCCGGCGTAGAGCTCTCGTCACTACTCTTCTCGGCCGGGTGTGGCTGCGCGGGCCTGCTTCTACTCCTCGTGGTCGGAGCGCTCTCCCTGACCGGAGGAGACGACGCCGACGATCCCGGCCGGGTCGTACTGTCGCGCTACGATCAAGCCGCCCTGTCAGAGGCGAGGAGCGACGCGGTTTGTGCTAGATGCATGAATGCCTGCCCATTGGCATTGCCAATCATCCCACTGCAGTTGAGGCTGTGCCGTCTCCCGGTGCAATCAGGCGCGCGAGCTAGTCTGCATGGCAACCTTCACCGCGCTCGCCTACTTCGATCTCCGCGCGCGCTGCGTGACGACGCGCCTCTCGTGGCTCTGGTGCCGCGCGCATTGGGCAGCCCCGCATGATCATAGGACCCTTTTTGTTGAACACTTTCTCTCCCGACCCACGTGCTCAGGTTCCTTCGCGCGGCGAGTGCAGCAGCGGTGAGAGCTCTGCTACGACGCACCGCCGTGGGCAGCCCCTGTTTCAGTGACATTGCCCGCTGCGAATCAGGTTCGCACGCTCTGCTACGTGGCACCGCTGGTGGCAGTGCTGTTGGTGCTTCCATTCGTGCTCCTCTGCTCGGCGCTGCAGCGGCTCGGGCTCAGCGCCGCCGCCGCGTGGCTCTCTGCCGGTAATGGAGCCATGTCGCCATATACCATCAGAACCCACGCCCAATCCGCTCGCTCGCTCTTTACACCTCACGGGCTCGCTCGCTCCTCTCGCCCGCTTGCCCAAGCCACCGAGTACTGCCGGGGCTCCGCTGTGGTCAGGGCCTGCCGACTACTGTTTGCGTTACGGGCCTTATGTTTCCGTCTACTGGCGAGACGCTTAGCCGCGACGCTTGGCCGAGATGGCATGCCGCTGATATTTGGCCAAGGTGTAGACGGGTTCCCCTAAATGTGCCCGAGGGGCTGCTCTTAGTATACGCCCCTCGGCGGCAGGCTGATCAAGCGCGACTTTGCAGCCTCACGTGCTGCCCAGCTGCCCCTCCTGCCGACCGCATCCGGCTGGCGAGCTGGCGAGGGGGAGGGCGACGGCGGCAACACGGGCTTGGTGGCGGGGATCCCGACCTTCTCGGGTATCCGGCGCTCGATCGGCCTTAGGCAAAGGCCGCGAGGCGGCTGCCACGAGCGACGCCCCTTCCTTCTTTGCAGCGCTGAAGCGAGATTTGGCGAAACTCGTCATACCGCCTATGCGCTGCGACCGTGTGTGCTGAGGCCCCGACGCTTCTCTTTCGAACAGGCCCTCGACCGCACGCTGCGCAGGGCTGACGAGAGGCGTCGCGGCGGCTGCTGCGGCTGCGGCTGGTGCGGTGCGCTGGGCGCTCTCATGACGGTACTCGTGATTTGCTCAGTGGCCGTCGGCGCACACGCTTCTGCCCATGCAGGGGAAGGGGGGGGGGGAGAGGGTCGTGACCCCACCATCTCGCGTGGTAGGTGCGGTGCTGCGGGCCGAGGCGGAGTTGGAGGCAAGAGGGGTGCGAATGGTGGTGGCGGGCCGCGGCGATGACGACCGGTTATTGCGGCTGTTTCGCGCCGCGGGGGAGGAATCGGTTGCGGCGAGGCGCAGCAGGCACGCTATGCTGGAGTCCGCCGGGGCTGAAGCGTGACTTCGCGAGTAACCTGAGAGATTTCACCCAACCCCTCCCGCGTCGACTGTGCAACACCTCCTGCAGTCGATGACAAGAAGACAGCTCTCTCGCACGCGCCAAGCGCGCGTGGGCGAACGCGCTTCTTTTAGAGCTGAGATAGTTGCTTCGATGTTCCCGTAGAGTCTAGAGATGTGTCAGCTACGTCTTATACGTCAGTAAACTTCATGTCAGTTAACCTAATCATGCACACGGGCGCTCCATCCTTCTCCTCTGCCAGCCACGGTTTGGGTTGTTGCACGAGTATATGGGCCACGATGTCTCAAATATGAGGGGTTTTGACTCCTACCGGCTCCTGACGCTATCCCTGGCAGCTCTAATGGCCAGGGTCAGTAGTGTTGTGATAGAGGGTGCCCATACTAGCGAAGGAGCTGCCACACTCGCCCGGACCGTCCCCTTCTGGGGCCGGTTCCGCAGCCCGCGAGAGCCGACAGCGGGGCCGTGCCGCAGGTGCCTACTGCCGAGTGCCACAAACACTGCGCCGTCCCGCCATCACCTACAGGCTGTCTTGTGTGATGGTTGGGATGTCCAAACGCCACCATCTTGGCTCTTGCGACCTCAAACCCTCGAGCTGTATGGGTGGTCCTGACGTCGACAGACGCCCAATGACCACGGTGAAGCTGAGCCGGAACGCGTCGAAAGGTCTCGTCTGAGCCCGTGGCGGTCGCCGGCTGAGTCGCTGTGCACGGGCCGGTACCTCAGGCGTCACCTCCGCAGCCTCAGGTCTCACACTCCATCACCTCCGCCGGGACGCCGTCGGTGGCACGCTCGGCGGCGAGTTTGTTGCAGCCCCACAGCGAGCGCGGCGTCGAGCCTACTCACTCCCGTTGGTTCGGCACACTCGGTGGGGTCCACCGAGTGTGCCGAACGCGCGAGCGGTGCGTCCTGGCAGCCCGCGCTGGCTGCGGAACTGCAACAAACTCGAGACACGCTTTTTGGGACATTTTCGACGCTTTTGGCCCATATACTCGTGCAACAACCCGTTTTTGAGCCTCCAACCCGGCACCTCCGGCACCCGGCAGGGTGCCCCTGCCGTGCCCCTGGCCCCTGGGTATACGGTACTCTAAACTCAACAAAAGGGGGACGGTGTGTGAGGCTACCGACTGCACTCGCAAGTGCTCCAAGTGATGGGAACAGATCCCTCGCAAGGCGCGATATAAAATGAGAGAAATAACTGGCGCGGCGGCAGCGGCGAACTACCTCTCGGTCCACGACTGCATATCCACGACCAACCTCCCCGGGTTGTCGCTCGGCAGCGTGGGAGCGCCCATCGCCGCAATGGCGCCCTCCACGCGCCTTCGCAGGTCGCTGACCTGCGTGGCGCGGCGCGACTTGCCCCAGCCAGTGACAATGATGAGCCGGTCCGGCTTGGGCTGCAGGGCTGGCACGCGCTCCTCCAGCCACCACCGCAGCGCCGTCTCGCCCGCGCCCTCCGAGTGTTCGTGCAGGTCTAGCATCGGGGCGCCGGCTTCCCACTTCTCTACCTCGCGATAGAGGCCACGCTCACAGCCCTGTAGCCACAGCTCGCGAGCAATGGCCGGCTGCGGCGACGCGACAGCGTCCAGCACCGCATTGAAGGTGACTCTGCTCGGTTCCACCGACCTCAGCGCCGCCTTAAAGAGCCTCAGCGCCTCATCAGGCTGTTGTGCCGCCGCGCACGCCTGAATCGCTGCGCTGTAGCTGTACACGTTTGGTTGCACGCCGTCCTCTTGCATCTTGCTGAACAGCGACAGGGCATCACCACAGCGGCCAGCCTTCTCGCACGCAGAGATGGCCGCACTGTAGCTGATCACGGTCGGCTGCACTCCCGCAGCAAGCATCTCGTCGAACAGCGCTAGGGCTTCATCGCACCGGCTAGCCTTCTCGCAGGCTGAGATGGCCGCACTGTAGCTGATCACGTTTGGCCTCAACCCCGCAGCAGGCATCTCGCGCAGCAGCGACAGCGCCTCATCACAGCGGCCCGCCTTTTCACAGGCTGAGATGGCCGCACTGTAGCTGAACTCGTTCGGCGGCACTCCCGCAGCAGGCATCTCGCGCAGCAACGACACCGCCTTCTCCCATTGGCCAGCCTTCTCGCTTGCAGAGATGGCCGCGCTGTAGCTGATGACGTCTGGTGACAAGCCTGCATCAGGCATCTCGCGCAGCAGCAACAGGGCCTCATCGCACCGGCCAGCCTTCTCGCATGCAGAGATGGTTGCGTTGAAGCTGATCACATTTGGCCTCACGCCCGCAGCAAGCATCTCGTCGAACAGCGAGAGCGCCTCATTGCACCGGCTAGCCTTCTCGCACGCAGAGATGGCCGCACTGTAGCTGATCACGTCTGGTGACAAGCCTGCACCAGGCATCTCGCGCAGCAGCGACAGCGCCTTCTCCCATTGGCCTCCCTTCTCGCACGCAGAGATGGTTGCGTTGTAGCTGATGACGTCTGGCTGCACTCCTGCAGCAGGCATCTCGTCAAATAGCGAGAGCGCCTCATCGCACCGGCCAGCCTTCTCGCAGGCTGAGATGGCCGCACTGTAGCTGTAGACGTCTGGTTGCACACCCGCGCCTGGCATCTCGCGCAGCAGCGACACCGCCTTCTGCCACCGGCCAGCCTTCGCACACGCAGAGATGGCTGCGCTGTAGCTGACCACGTTTGGCGGCACTCCCGCATCAGGCATCTCGCGCAGCAGCGACACCGCCGTCTTCCAGTCCTTCGACCCTGCGCACATGTTGATGAGAATGCTGTAGCTGATCACGTCTGGCTCACATCCGGCCTGCCGCATCTCGTCGAGGAGGCCAAACGCGCGGCGGCAGTCTCCGACCCTGGCGTGAGCCGAGATGAGCTGAGTCCACTCCTTTGTGTCCCTCAGCGGCTGCAGTCTCGCCTCCAGCCGCGCCACATCCTCTCCGCGGCGGCACCGCTTGAGCTCAGCAAACAGTAAGCCTCTCTCGCCTCTCTGGCTGCGCGGTTGGGTGCTGAGCAGCCTCGGCAGTGGCGGTAGGGACGGCTGTGCGAAGCGGAGGCCTGCTGGGATCGGCGCTCGTGGCGTGGCAACGGCCGCGAGTCGAGATGACGCGCCTCGCGCCGCGCGGAGCACCACATGCATGTCTGGCCAGAGCACCCCAACGAGTGGCCAGATTTCGGGCGGCTAAAAAACAAAAGAAATTTATTCATCAAGTCGCCAAAAGGCACGCTCTGCGGTCGCACGGGAAAGAAGAGGGTGTGGAAAGAAAAGAAATCGACGTCGCACTTAGTAGTCAGCGACGCAGCGTCGCTGTCCTGACGCGTTCACCGCCGATGAACGACCAGATCTTCGACCTGGCCCAGGGCCTCGTGCCTGCCAACTACATCAAGCAGGCGCGGCAGGCGCGGCAGGCGCGCGAGTCGCTTCTCAAGACGCTCCTCGCGCAGCGCCGCCTTCCCGAGCACGGCTGGGACGAGCCGACTCTCAAGCTGGCGCTGGCCGAGCTGGCGGCGCTCGACTCCAACACCTTCGTTGGCAACGCCGGCGTCGGCGAGCGCGAGGGGCGCGTCATCTGCCCGCTCGTCGCCGCGCGCCACTTTGGGCTCGCGCACGGCATCGGCCGGTCGGGCGACATTGCCGAGGCGCAGCCAAAGGCGGCGGGCTCGTCGCTAATCTACGCGCTGACGAACGCGCTCGCGGCGGACGCCCTTCGTCGCGCGGGAGGCGCCGGCGTCTCCGAGTGCGTCACGCTGCCGCTCGCGACGGGCATGTCGGTGACGCTCACGCTGCTCGCGCTGCGCCAGCTGCGGCCGAACGCGCGGCATGTGCTCTGGCCTCGCATCGACCAAAAGTCGTGCCTCAAGGCGGTGAGCGCGGCGGGCCTGACGCCGGTGCCGATCGAGAACCTGCTCGACGGCGACGAGCTGCGGACAGACCTCGACGCGCTCGCCGCGAAGCTGTCGGAGATCGGCGCAGACGACGTGCTCTGCGTGCTCACGACAACGTCATATCTCCCCATATCTCCCCGTGTAGAGCGACGCCTCATCGATCTCTCCCCATATCTCCGCACATCTCCCCATATCTCCCCATATCTCCCCATATCACCCCATATCTCCCCATATCTCCCCATATCTCCCCATATCTCCTCATATCTCCCCACATCTCCCCATATCTCCCCATATCTCGCCATGTCCATTGTCCATGTAGATCGTGCTTTGCCCCGCGCGGTGTCGACAAACTTCTCGACGTCGCGCGCCTCTGCGCCGAGCAAGGCGTGCCCCACCTCTGCAGCAGCCGCGATACCGCACCACCCACGGGACTGAACCCACGCTGGGTTCGATACTCTGGAGGTATGGGACTAGGCGTGCCCCACCTCTGCAGCAGCCGCGATACCGCACCACCCACGGGACTGAACCCACGCTGGGTTCGATCCTCTGGAGGTATGGGACTAGGGTTGCCCCACCTCTGCAGCAGCCGCGATACCGCACCACCCACGGGACTGAACCCACGCAGGGTTCGATACTCTGGAGGTGTGGTACTAGGCGTGCCCCACCTCTGCAACAATGCGTACGGCGTGCAGTGCGACCGCTGCATGAAGGCCACCGCCAGCGCCTCAACGCGGGCAGGTGTTTCTTGTTGGGCCAGCCGGTTTCTTTTCTCTTTTCCAGGCCATCGCCAGCGCCTCCCGCCACGGCCGCCTCGACTGCTTCATCCAGTCGACCGACAAGAACTTCCTTGTCCCCGTCGGCGGCGCGATCGTCGCCACCGCCGACGGCCGGCACGGGCCGGAGCTGCTGGCCAAGGTGCGGTCGACGTATGCCGGCCGCGCCTCGATCTCGCCCCTCCTCGACCTTTTCTTTCCGGCCGTCGACCTGGTGTTTTTTTTTCTAGGCCGCGCCTCGATCTCGCCCCTCCTCGACCTCTTTTTCCGGCGGTGCACGTGTTTCTTTTTCTTTTTTCTAGGCCGCGCCTCGATCTCGCCCGTCCTCGACCTCTTTTGCACGCTGCTCCACCTCGGCGCCGACGGATGGCTGCGCCTCCTCGAGCGGCGGCGGGCATCACACCCCTCCCATCGCACCCCTCCCATCCCACCCTCCCATCACACCCTCCCATCGCACCCTCCCACCACACCCTCCCATCGCACCCTCCCATCGCACCCTCCCATCACACCCTCCCTCCCATCCTCCCATCACACATCCCACCCTCCCATCCTCCCACCCTCCCATCACACCCCTCCTCAGGCGCGCCTCCTTCCCGGACTTTCGGCGCAAGCTCGAGGTGGTGGCGGCCAAGCACGGCGAGAGGGTGCTGCACACGCCAAACAACGGCATCTCGATGTCGGTGACGCGCACGAGATTGCACGAGATTGCACGAGATTGCACGAGATTGCACGAGATTGCACGAGAGTGCACGAGATTGCACGAGAGTGCACGAGAGTGCACGAGATTGCACGAGATCGCACGAGACTGCACGAGACTGCACGAGATTGCACGAGAGTGCACGAGATTGCACGAGAGTGCACGAGATTGCACGAGATTGCACGAGATTGCACGAGAGTGCACGAGATTGCACGAGATTGCACGAGATTGCACGAGAGTGCACGAGATTGCACGAGACTGCACGAGACTGCACGAGACTGCACGAGACTGCACGAGACTGCACGAGATTGCACGAGATTGCACCAGATTGCACGAAAGTGCACGCCAAGCAGCGGCATCTCGAAGCCTTCTCGGAGCCTTCTCGGAGCCTTCTCGGAACCGCCCTAGGTGACGCTCACGCCGCCGGAGGGGTCCAAGCCCGCCGGGTCGCTCGGCGTCGCTCGCTCTTCGTGCGGCGCGGATCACCTGCTTCCTCTCGTCGCCCCACCCGCGGCTCTGTCCCTTTGTCAGGCGCCTCGTGCAATCTCGTGCAATCTCGTGCAATCTCGTGCAATCTCGTGCAATCTCGGGTTCTGGCCCTTTGTCAGGCGCCTCCCTCTTCGTGCGGCTCGTGTCGGGGCTGCGCGTCGTCACGCCCTCTGCCGCCGGCAAGACGGTCGGCGGCATCTCGGAACCTTCTCGGCACCTTCTCGGAACCTTGCCGGAACCGCCCCATAGGCAAGACGGTCGGTGGCATCCCCTTCGAGTCTTACGGCGCGCACTACTTCAGTCTCTGACAATCTCGGGCGCACTTCGGCCAATCTCGGGGCACAATCTCGGCCGATCTCAGGTCCGTGGACGCGTCCAGGACATGTCCATGTCCATGTCTCCCCCCCCCCCGCCCTCCCCCCAGGCGCGCACTACTCGGGCTACCCGTGCGCGTACTTCTCTGTCGCGTGCGCCATCGGCATCGCGGACGGCGACGTCGACCTCTTCCTGCGCCGCCTCGACAAGGCCACTCGCACACACACACACCGCTCACCCACGCGCACCGGGCCTTGCACTTTGAATGCCGTGGGGCTCCTGTCGTTAGACGTGGAGACGCGAGGGTCGCCCCCCCTTGCCCCACCACCTCGTGTGTGTGGAGAAGTTTACCTTACCTTGCCTAGGCGCTCGCCGAGTGGAAGAAGCCGCCGCGCCAGCCAAAGGCAAAGGCGGGCGGCGCGGACGGCGCAGCGGGGAACGGGTCCTGCGCCGCCAAGGACCGGGACCTCGCGAAGGATTTCCGGCCCAACCCCTCCGCCAAGGAGTTTGTGCCGGCCGCGCAACCCGCGCCCTGCATGACAGCGGCGCCGCCCTGCTCCGTGGAGAAGGCGGAGGAGAAGGGGGTGGCGGCCGAGTGAGCGCGTGTGGCGCGGAGCATGCAGCGCACCCACTGACGAAGCCACGTACAATTATTTTCCCGCGCGAGAGCACCTGCAGGCGGATCACTTGGCAGATTCAATTTTGTTGGACGCGTCCCAATCTATGGCCTCTTCCCTTCTTGCGAAAACGTGTGCCAGGGTCCGACTCCACTTCCTGGTACCCCTCGGCCCTCCCCCCGGCATGTTTTGCGAGTATATGGGACACGATGTCTCAAATATGAGGGGTTTTGACTCCTACCGGCTCCTGACGCTATTCCTGGCAGCTCTTATGACCAGGATCAGTAGTGCTATGATACAGGGTGCCCATGCTAGCGCAGGAGCTGCCACACTCGCCCGGACCGTCCCCTTCTGGGGCCGGTTCCGCAGCCCGCGAGAGCCGACAGCGGGGCCGTGCCGCGGGTGCCTACTGCCGAGTGCCACAAACACTGCGCCGTCCCGCCATCACCTACAGGCTGTCTTGTGTGATGGTTGGGATGTCCAAACGCCACCATCTTGGCTCTTGCGACCTCAAACCCTCGAGCTGTATGGGTGGTCCTGACGTCGACAGACGCCCGATGACCACGGTGAAGCTGAGCCGGAACGCGTCGACAAGTCTCGCCTGAGCCCGTGGCGGTCGCCGGCTGGGTCGCTGTGCACGGACCGGTACCTCAGGCGTCACCTCCGCAGCCTCAGGTCTCAAACTCCACCACCTCCGCCAGGACGCCGTCGGTGGCACGCTCGGCGGCGACTTTGTGGCAGCCCCACAGCGAGCGCGGCATCGAGCCTACTCGGTCTGGTCGGTCGGCCGCACTCCCTGGGTGCCAGGGAGTGCGGCCGACACGCGAGCGGTGCTTCCTGGCGGCGCGCGCCGGCTGTGGGGCTGCCACAAACTCGAGACACGCTTTTTGGGACATTTTCGACGCTTTTGTCCCATATACTCGCAAAACATGCCCCCCACACTCACCACCACCTGTCTCCCCAGTGCTCGATCTTTACCGGTATGGGAGTTTTTGGCTAATCAAACCCAAGGCCTGCACTAATCAAAAAGTGGTACGGGATACCAGTTGCCTCACGGAAATCAAAGCGAGTCGGAGTGCCTTCTTATCGGCAAAATCGGCAAAATACCGGGTATTTTGCGGGTATACCTGGAAAAACCCGGGTATACCCGGGTAATACCCGCACTTTTGCATGGTTTCGCCCCCGGGACCACACCGACAGCCGCTACAACTAATGAAAACCCCGCATACCACTTTCGCGTACCACTATACCATACCACTCCAAAACTAATCAAAATATCGCCAAATACCGGTCTCATACCGGTAAAGATCGAGCACTGTAAGTCTCCCACCCTTTGGCCCATACACTGACGACCGGCGTTTTTAGTATCGCGATGAAGTGTGTGTCTCGCGCCTTGCGGGGGGGGGAGCGGAAAGGAGGAACCTCTTCCCAAGAGCACCACTCTTGGAGCGCCGCCACTACCACCCAGAGCGCTGCAAGCAGCGCCGGGCAATGACGGCTTACCGCCCGCCACCCAGCCCCCCCTCGGCACACCCCGGCAGCCAATGTGTGACGGCTCGAACCCGCTAAGCCATCCCGCAAGCGGAATGGCCCGCCACTCGAACCCGCAAGCGGGTGTACGAACCGCGAGCGGCTCGCACTCGTGACACGCAGGCGTCCGACAGACGGCGCCGGGGCTAGGCGACCGAAGAGGAACTACGGCAAGAACCGCACACCACCCGCTGACGAGCGCTCGCGGAACTGGTCCGCGGCGTCCGCCAGGGGCGTGCGCGAGACAGGGCTCGAAGCCCTTTTCTGTGAGCAGCGAGGGATTCCCTCCCGGCGGGGGTTGTGGCGGAGGGCCGGCATGGGAATCGCCGGCCCCCACCCAGGGGGTGCCCCTGCCAGGCGCCGCAAGCGGTGCCCGACAGGGGCGGGTGCCCCCACCCCGAGGGGTGGGGGCGGGGTCGGGGCCCAAAGTGATTCGGCCTATCGCCTCGGCAAGGTCCTCGGTGCGATTCTCCACGGTGTCGTCGAGCGAAAGCGCGGTAGCCGCGGAGGTGATGACGTCGACATCGGTGGAATCGGCTGGGTCAACGTCAATGTCGATAGCTCTTTCACGTCGGATCCCCTTGTTGTCTCCGATGTGTCGCGCCTGCGCGCTCGGCGTGTATGAAATCCATATCACCCCATGCTCCACGACTGGGGCTTTAGGCGGCGAGGGCGGGGCGCTAGGCGGCGGTTTGTTTTCGGGGGAGTCGGGTGGGTCATCGGCGTAGCTAGAGGCCCCATCACCGATGTCGTCGAGTGGGATGGTTGTACCTCCTCCGTTATAAACCACGTCGTCGCCCACGGTGCTGCTCTCCCCGTCGTCTGCGTCTGTTGGGACAGACTCGTCTTGCCACTCCGGTGCGCCGCAATCCCTCGCGCCGCTCCTGCCGAGGTCAGCTTGCTTATCGACGTAGTCGTTCCAGGATACAAGGCGGGGACGAAGGCGGATCCGAACGCAATAACACCCCAGCAAGCTCGGACGGCATTTGCGAGATACTGCAAAAAGATAGACGTGACGAAGGAGGAGCTAGCGTGGAACTTTGGATGCATATCGGCAAGCCAAAGTAACGAGCAGGAGGCTGTCCTGGTGCGTGAGCTAATCCTGAGCAACAATAAGCGACTGTACCTCGGAGCACAGAGCGCAGCAGACAGGACGGCGGCGACGGCGGACATGGCAGAGACGAGTGTGAGACAAAGGGCGGCGGGGATGGAGGGCGGGAGCGACGGGGATGGAGACGGTGACGGTGGCGAGGGAGAGGAAGGGGGTCCATTAACACCAGACAGCGAGAGGGGCAGGGAGGAACGGGGGAGACTGAGAGGAAGCCAACGGCGATGCCACCAGCAGCAGGGGACACGATGAACAGGTAGACAACGGCCAAGGCGATGGCGAGGACGAGGAGACACGGGACGATGGCAGGCGAGACGAGGAGGACGGAGGCGAGGGAAGAGGCAGCGCCACAGTCGACGGAGGCGACAACGATGGAGAAGGGGAGGGAACGACAACGCGCACAGAGGATGAGGATATAAACTGGGAGGACGCAGCGGAGGGGATAGACGAGGGAATCGAGGGACCGGAGGGCTTTCGCGACAGCGACGATGACGACGAAGGCAGGGGAGGAGACGGAGGGGCGACACGCAGGAGGAGCAAAATCGCGAACGGCCCGAGCAGAGAGGGCGACGGCAGGGCACGAGGGAACAACGGAGGCGCTACCGATGACGCGAACCGAGGCACGGGCGACGGCGGGGACGGGGAGGGCGACAGCGACGTCGAGGTTGACGCAACGGTATCGAGAGCGCCACCCAAAAGGATTCGGACAGCCACGGAGGTCACCGAATGGAGGGCGAACGGCACGATACGAAAAGGCAGGGCGAGGCGGATGTAGAAAGAAGTGCCGAGGAGGCCATGGTGGAGGGGAGGGACGGGAGGACGAAAGAAGGGCGAGGAGGACGAGCGGCCCGCACAGGTCGCGAGCAGACAGCGCCTGCTGGCCATTTCGAGACATTCGCAAAGAACGCTAGCTACATGGGAGGGCTTCGTGAAGGATGGATTGAAAAACATTCGAACAAAGAAGAGGCGACGGGAGGAACCGGCAGAGGATGCAGTGACGTGACACACACACACACACACACACACACACACACACACACACCGCTCACCCACTATACCCACGCGCACCGGGCCTTGCACTTTGAATGCCGTGGGGCTCCTGTCGTTAGACGTGGAGACGCGAGGGTTGCCCCCCCTTGCCCCACCACCTCGTGTGTGTGGAGAAGTTTACCTTACCTTACCTTACCTTAGTCGTTCCACTTATGACCACTGTGCCCCTTGACGTGTCTCCATGCCACTTCGTGCCTCGACGCTAAATGCCGCCACGCTGCTCGAAGATAGCTCGCTAGTTGTGCGTTCTCCCCCGGCGAGATTCTCCCCGTCGCACACGCCATCGCGTACTCGCTGTCCGTTCGGACCACCCCTCGTGAGCCTGCTGGTCGTGGTGCCGTGTGGAGTAGTGAGCGAAAAAGCTCCGCAAGCGCTGACAGTTCTGCCGTGTTATTGGTGTGTTTCCGCGCCCCCACGAAAGCGGCGTGTACGGGGCTAGTCACGACGGGGCCGTAGCCTTCGGTCACGAGCATGCATGGCATTCACGTCGCATATGCCGTCCCCGCCCATGACTACGGCGTACGCCCATCCTGCCCTGCCTCCGTCTTCCGACCCATCAGTGTACGCCGTCCAGTCGGGTGGTTGCTGCTGCTGTGGGGGCGTGGTGCCGTCCCGTCGACACGGTCGAAGTATAACTCCTGACGCCTTGATTTACACACGATCAAGGGGTACGCGTGCGACCAGTGCAAGTCGCTTGTCTCCATCAAGCTGCCGGCCACGCCGATCACCTTTGAAGGTGAGGCCCACTTTGCCCAAGCAGGAACCAGCACCGAGAGCAGCGCGCTCGACGTCGAGTGGGGAGGCCTGACCAGCATCGGCTATTCTACGTTCAGCCGGAGCGGCCTCCGGACGGTCGACCTGTCTGGCGCTGCCGTCCAGACGATCGAGGCGTACGCGTTCTACGGCTGCGTCCAGCTCGAGCAAGTCGACCTGTCCGGCAGCAACGTCAACACCGTCGGGAACGGCGCCTTTGAGTCTTGCTCGTCGCTCGCCTCCATCAAGCTGCCTGCCACGGACGCCAACTTCGGCCAGGCTGCATTCGGCCGGAGCGGCACCGAGAGCAGCACGCTCGTCGTCGACTGGGGCGGCGTCACCGTCTTCGGCTACGCCATGTTCTCAGGGAGCGGCATGCGGGAGCTCGACCTGTCCGGCACGGCCATACACACGATCAAGGGGTACGCGTGCGACCAGTGCAAGTCGCTTGTCTCCATCAAGCTGCCGGCCACGCCGATCACCTTTGAAGGTGAGGCCCACTTTGCCCAAGCAGGAACCAGCACCGAGAGCAGCGCGCTCGACGTCGAGTGGGGAGGCCTGACCAGCATCGGCTATTCCACGTTCAGCCGGAGCGGCCTCCGGACGGTCGACCTGTCTGGCGCTGCCGTCCAGACGATCGAGGCGTACGCGTTCTACGGCTGCGTCCAGCTCGAGCAAGTCGACCTGTCCGGCAGCAACGTCAACACCGTCGGGAACGGCGCCTTTGAGTCTTGCTCGTCGCTCGCCTCCATCAAGCTGCCTGCCACGGACGTCACCTTTGGTACACATGCTTTCTCAGGGAGCGGCACCGAGAGCAGCACGCTCATCGTCGACTGGGGCGGCGTCACCGTCTTCGGCTACGCCATGTTCTCAGGGAGCGGCATGCGGGAGCTCGACCTGTCTGGCACCGCCGTCCGTACGATCGGGGCCTACGCGTGCAACAGCTGCACATCCTTGACGTCGCTCACCCTCCCCCAAGGCATGGGGCTCATCGAAAGTTGGGCCTTTGCCTCCTGCACCTTGCTCTCCTGGACCTACGTCCCACCAACGTGCATCATCGAGCCCCATGCTTTCGAGGGCACGCAGGGCTACGGAGCAAACTACCCGCCCTCTCCACCATCGCCTCCTCTTTCGCTAAGGAAGCCGCGAACGTCGGCGGGCTCTGCTTTCGCTTGGAAGGTGCACACCCGCACCCCCGCTCCATACGCAGCGTCCGATACCATGTGTGTCTCATTCACCTCGGCTCGTGCTTGCAGTTCTTGGCCAAGGTGACCGACGGCAAAAGCAAGACATTTGGCAAGAGCAAGAAGCAGACCAGCCCGTGGTTCTCCGCCAAGGCACCCCAACGTTTCTTGCCCTGCCACCTTCTCGTGGTGATTACAGTTCACCGTTGCGACGCGTTAGGTCACGACGGAGAATCAGCAGCCCATCAGCTCCGTGACCGTCACCCGGGACACCAAGAACAAGCCTTCCAAGGCGAAGAAGTATCTCAACGGCTTCGAGATCTGGGTCGGCAAGAAGGCTGGAGAAAAGGCGGTGAAGTGCGGCGGACCATTTGCCTGGTCAAAAATCAAGAAGGGGCCCGTCACGGCGCCGTGCGACGCTGCCAAGTCCAAGCGCGCCTGCCTCCCCTCCAACCGCCACGCCTCAATCCCCACTAGTTCCCGTGACGATGCATGATGGTGCTGCCTGGGAAGCAAGCGTCCCCCCCCCCCCCCCCTCCCCCCGCCTTCCCCGACCAGGCACCACTACGTGACTGTCATTCTCCCTGGCAAGAAGAAAACGCTCGCTTTTGGCGAGATAGAGGTGCGGTAGTTGGAAGGCCTAGACTGCCAGACTTCACACACAGATACAACCTCGGCCTTCACACTGCAAGTTCCTGACCTCTCTTGCCAGCTTCAGACGGTTTCTCGTCGCTGCGGGGGTCGTACGGTATCACTCACAGTGCGTACAGTTAAAGGCATAATAAGCGCATAAGGCTCTCTATGTGTGTGTGTGTGTGTTTGAGAGAAAGCCAGAAGAAGAAAAACGCCGGTCCGAAATGGATGTGAGGTTAGCGACTGCACTCCAAGTGCTCCACGTGCTCCGAAAAGGAGCTGGCACCTCAAGCTGCGCTGTCAAGACACCCTCCAGCCGCCCGGGAACTTCCACTCTGCTCCCGACGGTCCGGGGTGCACGGGGCGGGCGTCGGCTAGCCTCAGAGCGTCAGCGGCCCCTCAGGCCGCGCCTCCGCCTTGGACTGCGCCGCAAACGGCCCTGCCGCCACGTACTCGCGGAGCTGGCGCACGGTCGCCGCGCCGGCGCCAATCACGTCGGCGGCGGCCGTCGACTTGAGCAGCGCCGAGGCGAGGGCGTGCTTGTCGCGCAGCTCGTCGGGGGTCAGCACAGCCTCCGCGTGGAGCAGCAGGTGGAGCAGCCCCTCGCAGCGGGCGAGGGCGAGCGCGCCTAGAGATGTGGGGAGATGTGGGGAGATATGGATATCTCCCCGTATCTCCCCATATCTCCCCGTCTCTCCCCGTCTCTCCCCATATCGCCCCATCTCCCGCGCCCCAATCGAGCTGCGCGAGGCCGAGCAGCAGCCGCAGCGCCGCGACGCGCAGCTCCTGTCGAAAGGAGGCGGGGAGATGGGGGGAGATCTGGGGAGAGGTGCCCTTGTCCGCGACGCGAAGGGCTCCTCAGCCGGCAGCGCGACCAGCGCGGCGAGGGCGTCGCCGGGTGCGGTGCCCGCCGAGGGCGAGACGGCGGCGATGAGCGCACGCAGAGCGGGCTGCACGCTCGCCACCTCGCCGTCCGCCGCGAATCGAGCGCACGTGCTGCAGAGCTGCGCGGCCACCGCAAAGGCGCCCACCTTTGCCCGCGCGTCGCTCGAGCGCAGCAGCCTCGCCAACGGGTCCGCCGCGCCGCCGCTCGCCGTCTGCCGCAGCACGAGAATGCAGCCCCGCCGCGAGCACGCCGCGCCGCGCACCGCCGCCAGTGCCGCGTCGCGCGCGCCACCTCCGGCCGGCTCGAGCTGCCGCCAGAGCGGGCCGAGCAGTCCGCCAGAGGAGAGCGCCTTGTCAAGGTGTGGGAGGGGTCAAGTCGGCGGAGATGTGGGGAGATATGGGGAGAGATGGGGAGAGATGGGGAGAGATGGGGAGAGATGGGGAGAGGTGGGGAGAGGTGGGGAGAGATGGGGAGAGATGGGGAGAGGTGGGGAGAGATGGGGAGAGATGGGGAGAGGTGGGGAGAGATGGGGAGAGATGGGGAGAGATGGGGAGAGGTGGGGAGAGAGCGCCTTATCGGCGGCGGCGTCGCCTCCCGCTTCGAGTAGCTCGGCGAGGCAGTGGAAGACGGAGGGGAGCTGCACCTCTGCCATCGGCGCGTCACCGTCGGCCTCAGCGCCGCGCGCCTGCGCGAGCAGGTCGTCCACGACGCCGTGCGCCTCGAGCCAGTGCAGGCCGCGGGGCACGCGCGCCAGAAGGGCAAACACCTCCAGCGCGTTGAGTCGGACCAGCTCGTCGGAGCCTCTCCATGCCGCGAGAGCGAGGTCGAGCGCGCCGCTCTCCTCGCACATGGCGCACTGCGCGTCGCCAATCGCGGCGATCTCACCGAAGAGCGCGAGCGTGCGCAGCGCGAGGGCGGGAACGCCGCCGGCTGGGTCGGCGGCGGCGGCGGCGCAGGGGGCGAGGAGCGCGGTGCGAGAGGGCGCGTGGTCGAGGACCGCGCGGAGGGCGCCGGCGCTCGCCGCGCAGGCGACGAAGAACCCCACCGCCCGCTGCGACACGCCGAGCGACGCGTCTGAGACGAGCACGGCAATCTGCTGCAGCACCCCGCTCGCGCCGAGGAGGGAGACGTCGGCCGCCGCCGCCGCGAGCCGCTTGCAGTGCACGAGCGCAAAGGAACGGATTGCGTCGTCGGCGTGCACGAGCGCCGTCGCGCGGAGCGCCTCTTGCACCGCCGCCGAACGGAGGAGCTGGAGGCCGGCGTCGCCGCTGAAGGCCTTGTCGAACAGCAGCGTCAGTAGAGGCGCGTCGGCGGCGTCGGCGGCGTCGATGCTCGCGAGGAGCTCGGCGAGGCGCGAGGAGCGGAGCTCGTCGACAGGCAGCCTCAAGAGGTCGCTGGGCGGCATAACGTGGCTCTTCGAGAGAGACCAGCGGTGCTGAGCGGGCGAGAGGACGGGCGAGAGGAGCTCGCCTCGCCACGCTCTGCCAGGGGCCCCTTTACGAATCTCGTTGGGAGAGAGAGAGAGAGAGAGAGAGAGAGAGAGAGAGAATTCTCTCTCTCTCTCGTTGGGACCGGGGGGTTCGACTGGCTCCATGAGGCAAAATGGGTTGAGAATGGTGAACAAGTACAATGGCCGGCGCTCTCATGGGTGGGTCCCAGCCCCTGTCTGTAACACACGTGTCACCAAGATATTCAAATATCTACACGGCGAGGTTGCAAACAGTGAATATGAGGTGCGCCTGCGGCATCCCTTCCCCAAAACGAACAGACAGCTAGCGGAACGCCTTCGTTCCCTCTGGCGACGCCTTCGCGCCAAACACACCGTGACGTGGAGGCATGTGGCGGGTCACAGCGGCAACAAATGGAACGACTACGTCGACGAGCTAGCTGCTCGCGGCAGGCAGGCAAGGTGACAGAGGCTCAAACGCTACCGAGTGGGCGGACAACACCATCCCGACGGACAATCCCGACGACGGGAGCGACACGGAAGGACCCGCCCCCGCCCCTCGGGGCGGGGGCCCCCGCCCCCCCGGGGGGCCCTTTGGGGCCCCTCCAGGGGGCGACCCCTCCGGGGAGGCCGGCCTTCCCCGTGCCGGTTCTCCCCAACCAAAAAACGGGTTGGCCCTTGCTCTCCAATCTCAGCGGCGTCGAGTCGTCTCCGGCGGCGCAATTTGGTACATCTCCAGGACGCGCAGACCCCGCTGAGTGAACGGCGGTACTCCGCGCCACCTGCCGAGTAACGCCGTCCACTCGGCGGGGTCGCAGCTGCCCCTGGAAGGCACCGAGAGGTACCAAATGGCGCAAATGACCAAAATCAAGATTGTGTAACGCGGGCTGTGCCACTGTGAAACGGAACTAGCCTTTGAGGGTGATTGATGCCTGTGGAGTTTCCCCTTTAATTTTTCGACCGAAAAGGAAACAGCAGCGTTGCCGCTGCGCGGGGGCGAGTAGAGAGAGTGAGAGAGAGAGAGAGAGAGAGAGAGAGAGAGAGAGAGAGAGAGAGAGAGAGAGAGAGAGAGAGAGAGAGAGAGATAGATACACACTATATACATACTAGTACACATTCGGCAAGTTTTAGCCACATGAAACCCGAGACCCCTCCCCGGCGGGTTGAGTTTCACAGTATTGAGTTCCTGCCGCTCGGGGGATACGGGCTTCACAGAGGTTCCCCCGGGGCTGCTGCTTTCCTCTGACAGTGCCGCAATGCC